AGTATCAAATTGCATCAAAATACTTGAAAAGTCCTGAGCAGACATCAAATCGACAGACGCACAGACAGACAGGCTTAGATTGGTATAGTAAAAGATGGATTTGTCTCAATTCATTTTGGATATTGTATATATATTGGCACAAATTTAATATACCCTTGTACAATAAATGATGTAGGGTGTCAAAAAAAATCGCCACGATTTAAAACTGACTAAGTCTCTCAGCCATATATATTATCGCACAGGCATGTGTACGTGTACGTGTGTGTGTGTGCGTGTGTGTGTGTGTGTGTATGTTTCAAGGAGGAGGCAGGCATCTGAAACGTAACTCGGTGGAGGAGAGCTTGCACCCACTGAAACCCCTCACAAAACTGGCGGTATACCTTCCCGCACTGCTGTGTGAATATGATACTCTCAGGAAAGTATAATTTTTCAGGTCTTTTTTTTGCCTCCGCTTCTTAGCTGAATTTTTGGCGGCCGTTTTAACAAACGCAATTTAAGGTGAATGCTTAGCGACTGCAATTGCTAAGAATTTGGGAAACACTTTCAAAATGAACGATAATTGGAAAATAATGATCCCACGTATAGTATATGGAGTCAAAGTAATTTATGACTAACAACAGCAAATAAAGAAGTTGTAGTCAGTTTTCAAAGCGCACCACCTTTGGTGCTCAGTTTTGAGAAAGAAAAAAAAAAAAAAACGAACAAGGTTGAATAACTTTTATTAATTATTAGTCGCAGGAGTTTTCTATTGACTTTTCCGATGATTTTGAAAAGCTTTTGCATTAAGTTTTCGTTGAAATTTCTTTTATAAATCTTGTAACTGGTGGCTTTATGTTTGCTAAAGATCTCTTACAGTTATTTCTTCATTGACGCTCTTGCTGACTTTAGTGGCCGATGTGTCTCTACTGCTACTTGCTATAGGTTTTGCTTTAGATTCTAAACTACAAGCCATCAAGTTTCAGTTATCTTGTGACAGTATGCGTTTTGACACCGCATTCATGGGCGAAGAGGTGTTTTCATGGACGGACGGAGAGACGAACGGTCAGGAATATAGAGAAAAAATTCATAAGATCTTTGTTTGGATATTTGGATTGGATGTCAAAAACAAAGGAAGAATTTACATTTGCCTTCGTTCTCTCTGATGGATACAAATATAAAGAACGTCTTTGATATTTAGTATTCATCATACAGTGAACCTAAATTTTGTACTTGCTCAAAGTATTTGTTAATAGAAAACACTCAGATGAGCTGAAAATTTTTTAAATATGTATAAACAACAATTTGTCAAACATTTCGGAGGTAAACTCATTAAAATTTTAAGGTTATATTCCATATAAGAAACAAAATGATCACAAATGAAAACGGGAGGTCTCTATGGAATGTAAGTAACTTGATGAAATATATTAATTTTTATACTCCTGTATGCTCTTTACTTTCATTTCATTATTATGGTCTTCAGATGTTTCAATAAATTGGATTTACATCCCTGACAGAGTACCAAACCATTCCGAAGAAGAACGAATTGCGTCCCGTTACTTATCGTATGCGTTTATTACTTGATAGTCATTCGATGCGAAAGTTATAAGTATAAGAAAGTTCACCTCAAATTTATACATTGGGTTTTAGCAGATAAACGGTAAATCAGTGTAACCACGAGCTTGGCTGCAATCTCCCTAACCTTGCACCGAAGTATTTAAATGGTTACCTGGGTATCTCACTTATTCCTACACTATGTCTTCCTCTTTACATTACGCTTATCTCTTCAATGCCTTGCGAGCGAAAGCCGAATAACTCGAGAAAACTTTCCCCGCTTATTCATTGTAAAGAACACTTTCAAAGAACCAAACATGAGTTCCGGCTAGTAACCGTCAGTGGAGATCTTAATGGTTACCGTAAAGAGTGAATTGTTACCGATAACCAGTAAAAATCGTCCTTATTTTGATTGCAAAAGGCATGTAAAAGGAAAGGCACAGATAGCTCCATGTAAGAATTACTAAACAGTGTTCTATCTTCATTGTCTTAAAAAATCGGCGAATTTCTCGTAAGAATCCGGTCCGTTTTTCAAATGCCTTGAAAAGAAGGGGCCCCGGAAGTCACTTTGTTTTCTTCACAAACTCAGCCAATTTACGCGCAATAACGTGGAAAGAATGCACGCAGGGGGATGACACGCTTATGTGGGGGCTGTGGTTTTTTCGGCACGATCTACAAAGTCAATACGTTCGATGGAATATACCTTACCCGCGATAGAGTCGCAAGAGCACACGAATGAATGCGTTCATATTGGTTATGTAGAATGTACGAGAAACGCAATCACGTGTGTATTCCTGTGCCTTTGCGACGTTATTTCCGATAAACTAGTCGAGTTTGTGTGAAGCAGACTTGTGTAAAGTAAATTCTCGCATAATGATCGCCGAATGGTTCTGTTAGTTTTCGCGGAAATGTTCGCTAAAGAGGAATAAATACATTCTAAAACAAGGCACTTGTCTTAGATAGGATCATATCGCTCATCTGTTTCTGGCGGCATGGAAGCGCGTACACTGAAACGAATGGCTTCAAACTAGCTATTCTATAGCATACATAATAGATACGTAATATATAATATAAAGAATAAAAGGTTTGATGAATGAACGGCGCAATATATGCTCGCAATATTCTTTGCATAGACGCCGCGTCGCCAACGTGGAGCGTTTCACAAGATTGCACCGGGACTAAAGGGATTGTTGAGAAGAAGATAAATCGCCATTTTGAATACAAATAAGAAACAACTAAGTTTACTACATTGCATTATCGTCGTAATTGAAGCTGTATGTGAAGGTGTGTTATTCGGAAGTCTCCGATATATGGATTGCGAACTTCCATGTCCGAAGAGTTTACAAAATATGATACATACACACATTGAAGTAATTTGCTAAACAGAAATGATTTGCGATATGTGGACAATAACTTTGAACGCTGAAATTCGTGATCGTTACTATAGGTTCTCAAGGTAATTGTTTAGTTTTGGAAAGAGTGGCAGAAAAAAAAATATGGAAGGGAAACAAACAAATCGCGTATCGCTCCTTAAGGAGCATATTTGAAAAAGTTCTAAAGAGATTTGCAGAGTTAATCCTAATTGCTCTCAGTTTCATATTTCTGTGTTATTTCGAATAAGTTGTGATCTTAAATATGTTTAAAACGTATCTTCGTCTAAGTTAAGAAAGCTTCTAATGAACATATCAAGTTTCATATTTTATATTGAAGAGCTTAATTATTCGAATAGTCAAACAGCATGTGTGCGCATTGCATTGTCTGCTATCATATTCCATATATACGGAAGAAGATTGAATCCTTAATTTTAATTATGTAAAATATATGTTACTTTGCCTGTTACTATGCACACCTAGATATGCCATGGATAATATCATAAAAACATGTACGATATAAAAATCTTTGTCGTAGCAACTCGAGAGCTTCCATAATAAAAGAAAAATATTTTCTGAATGAAGTGCTACATCATCGCCAGTGAGGTCTTTGCTTGTGCCAGCTCTTCTTTATCAGGTATAAAGAAAATTTCATTTATAAAACCTAAATATAAATTATCATCATAAGTATATAATAATAATAATAATAATATTTAATCTATACGAAGGAGCATATAAAGTCGTTAGAAGAGATTCTTTTCGTTTCTTTTTTTATAATAAAAAATGAGGGATGAGGGATGAGGGATGAGGGATGAGTTTTACGCATACCGTTAATAGCACTCTTAACTCTTAGAGTGTTTTATAAGGGATTCAGTTTTGTTTGTATCCTTTAAGTGGCCCGTAATAAATGCTTTTGGTAATTAGTAATCAAATTTTATTTCTCTCTCTCTCTCTCTCTCTCTCTCGCGGCTTTCCTTACACTCATCCACCGCCAGAGAATTCAATTACATTAATTTTGTTATTCCGTTTCTAGCATGCAAATGTACATTTCGGTCTTGATATCAGATTTATGTGTATTCGACACACGGCAGAAGATTTTGCATTGTTCTGACCATATTCGTCTCCTCTCAACAGCTCGTTGCTTTATATGCTATGCAATATGACAAGTTGAATATTAAATAAGAAAATAAAGGTAATCATGTCAGGTAAAATACGTAGGTTAGCAAAGTTTAGCACAAGCAAAGATGTCGGGATCGGAGAAAACATTTCAGTTTGTCGAAAGATTAGAAATAAATAGACCTAAGCCGTAATATACTCTTTGTGCTAAGAACCGAAGGCAAGGGAAACTATGCCCCTTCACCGAAGGACAAGGCGTTCATTCATTATCATTATCAAAAGGTTGACAACGCCCAGAAGGAAGCCTTTGAGACCCCACAAAGTATATATATTCTTCATAAGCATCAAATTCGAAATCGATTTAAGTATGTCCGTCTGTCCGTCCGTGTAATATTTGTTGTAAACATTTTCCTGGCCGCAAAAATGCGGCTATCGACTTCAAATTTGGCAGAAACGTTGCAACGTCTTGCACGCAAGTTGTCTCTCCGTCCGCCGAAATGTGTAGTGTGTGTAGTAAGGATTCTCCCGTAAGCGAAAATGCAGGGAAAGCTTACAAATTTGCAAAAGAATTTTGAACTTTTCGAAAGACACGCCTACAACACCCACATGCCTATAAAGCAAAAAACTCAGCCGCGCTCAATCCATATTATAGAGCATTAGAAGATCATGTCGTCGTTTTTTTTTTTTGGCTTTATTTAGGATAAGGGTGATGGATGTAAGAGATTCGGTCACGTCCGAATATAATTTTCTTTCTTATTATTTTTATTACTTTTAATGAATAGCTTCTTAGGAAATATTAATGCGATACAATAAAACTTCAAAAGATATATTTATATATGGTCAAGATCGACCCATTGGTCGTTCATTTCCATACATTGCATGCAAAGTCGATTTTTTTTTTTTTTTTCATACTTAACTCTTCGCTTATTCTATCAGGGCTAACAGAATTATCGCTAATCAGTAATGTATAAAACATTTACATACCGTTTTGGTGGTAAATTACGTTTTATATCTGTGTGACGTATTGAACCTTGTGTAGCCAAGCGTCCCTTTAGTGTGCTCTGCGATTGTGTAACCGATGTTGCGGTAGTTATAGCAGCAATACCGCTACGTAACGAAGTACCTAGTTCGCGATGATGTGCCGATATCGCTGTCTGCGATTGAACAGCGTAATCAAGACCCGGTAACTCCAATGACGTTATCGGATGTATGCGTGTCAATGACAATGTGCTCTCTAGGACAGTGCTAAGTAAAGGAGCACTGCGCAGGGATCTTAAACTACCGCGTCTACTAAAAGGTTCCGTTTTATACATTTATATATTAATTAAATAACAGCAATAATAAATAAATGAAACAGTTCTTGTAAAATAAAAGTTTTAAACAATTTTTTCCGACTCGTTGTGTATGAAGAAAAAAAAAAACAAAAAAAAAAAAACAAAAAAAAAAGAGCAAACACATCGCATGTTACTTGGCGTGCTGTAGTGTAGTCATCGTTGCATTACCGGCCCATTGAGCAAATAGATGTATGTAAATAGTTATTAAGTTCCTTTTTCCTTTTTCTTTTTTTTTTTTTTTTTTTTTTTCGTTTTAATATTTACATAGTTATATTAAAAATTTTAAACGCCTTCTTCTCGTTGTACTTTAGTCTTTGTTCCTTCTATGTACCCATATAACATTAAAACTTGTTTTATAATTAATTCGATGAATGTTTTCATAAATATTGTTATGTTATGTTCGTGTAACATTTTGTTAGCTTTTAAATTAAATTGCATTTACTTCAAAAAAAAAAAAAAAAAAAAAAAAAAAAAAAAACATTAAATGAAAATGAAAATGAAAAAACCACAAACAATTAAAAGATTCTTATCAACGTTTACCTAAGCAAAGCATAACTAACACGCAATTGATTCTTTTTGTATGTATATGTATATATATGTTCGTCACCTCACCGGCTCTTAATTGTATGATTTTTTGTTTTAGTAATCGAAAGTAAAACGAAATTAACCCTATTATGTGCATGTAAATATTTACATATGTATTTCTATATACGTATGCGAGAGTAGAGATAGATGTTAAGAGACTAACAAGTGCATATGTATTTTCGCTCTAAGTGACCTTGATTGATATGACTTCTCAGATTATCTACGAATAATTTTGGAACATGTAAATAGATAGATAGATAGATAGACAGACAGACAGACAGACAGAAAGACAGGCGCAGACATTCTTGGGAGACAGTTTCGATCGCAACGAATATATGCATATTTTAAGAGTCTATCGAAGCATATATATCAAGTAACGGACGAATGCACAACAACAGACTTTTAACTAATCCTTGGCTAATCTTATTGCTTCCTACAACTAAGATTTATTTAAAAAGTATTGAGCCTTGGGAAAATAAAAAATTTGTAAAATTGTTTGTGTTATTAAAACACAATACCACAATATTTCTTAAGCAGCATTCAACATGGATTCTTTCTCTCCCCAGTTATACAACTACGGCGAACTCTTATCAAAATACTTTCAAAACTCATTCCTCAAACTTAAAGTAACGCGGCTTGCAGTGTTGAAGCGAACGTTCCAAATAATTTCATGAATTAAAGATCCAGGAAAGCTGGGTCTGGTCTATCGCATACTATTACTGGATTATATCTGCTATTTTTCCTTTTTTATTTCTTATAACTGCGCAACAACTTCGCGCTTGTAATGCTCTATTATTTCTTATACGAACGCTTTGGCTCACCTTTGCCACGTTCTAGTAATGATTCGTAGATCCAAAATTCAGGATCGTGCAAAAGTTCTTTTTCACTTCAACTTCAGCTTTCCTCACTCACTGCATCGCCATCGTGGTTGACAGAACACCCATTTATATACTGCTATTGCTTGCCTTTTACCAAACACTGCCGTATAATTTTTTATTAAAAATAGAATCGGTTTCAAAATAAATGATCTATCTTTCAAATGTTGTTCGGAATGGAGTTTAAAAAAAAAACAAAAAAAAAAAAATATTTCCCATCATAACCTTCACTGATCTTACCATTTCTTTTACATTTACTAGGTATCGTTGTTAACGTCTCGAATTTGAATGCTATCAGTCTCTCGTCATCATTGGGCTCACTACTTTTTATATAATTTGCTATACTTTTAACATGTATTTACGTTTTCAGTCTTCTTGTATCGGAGTTTGTGAGCTGATTAGCATATTTACATTATCATATATCTAGAAAGTTTTATTTTATGTATATATATATATATATATGTATATATATATAAATATATATATAGAGATAGATATAAATGTATATAAGTCATTTGAAAAGGAAATGAAAAAGTGCATACTTATGAAGTGCTTTCCACTCTAGTAACTATAGGTTGATAAACGTTATGAGTTTCCTTTCTCCTTGAACTTCCTTCGTTATATCGATTTGTGTTTCCTTTGTAGTTTTTTTTTTTTTGTTTTTGTTTTTTTTTTTTTTTTTTTTTTAGTTTAGTTTTTTATTTTATTTTATTTATTTATTTATGTTTATTTATTTATTTATTTTTTTTTTGTAAATTCTTGCGAAACCTTGCTTTGATTGCTTCAGCTTAGTGTTTTAAATTTATGTTTCTCTATTGACTTTTCGCTGATTTATTCGATCACTCAATTTGTGCGTGTCGATGATTATGATGAGTATTTATAAAATGCTTTTAGTTTATTCACTCTGTCTGTAATGGGCTCTCTTCTTACAGTTGTTGGTTAAATATAGATGGGGGTCGGGGGGATGTGGCCTTCGTTCCCTTTGTTTTTTTTTTTTTTTTTTTTTTTTTTTTTTTCTGTTTTATTGGCTCTCTCGCTCTTTCGTCCTTTCACTCTCAATCTCAATCTCACTCTCTCGCTCTCGCTCTCGCTGTCACTCTTTATAGCGTATAGCGCGTTTAGTGTATTCTCAAGATCATCTTGGCTTCTTATGTTGTCTTTGACTTAATATGAGTTTTTAAATATTTTATATATATATATATGTATATATATATAAATATATATATATATATATCTTCTGGAGGATGGGGGCGGGGCTGGGCGGGGGCGGGGAAGAATAAGTTGAGTTGAGAATAGTTTTGTTAATTTTTTACTACTTGTGCATTATGTAATGTTTTCGTTTATACAAATGCTTTATTATTATTATCATAATTACAATTAGCTGTTGTTTTTGTTGTTGTTCTTCTTCTTCTCTTTGTTGTTGCTTTTATTATTATTGTTGTTGTAATGAGAAAATACGAACAATAGTATTCTTGCATTTATAGGGAGAAAATCCAGAATTGTTGGAAAATTTTTATATACGACAGTAGCGGTGCATTTGTAGATGTGGAGAGAGACAGCTGTTTTTAGTTCTTTTTGTTTTTTTTTTTTTTTTTTGTTTTTTATGTTTTTTTGAATGATGTTTATGATTTTGCGAGTAGTCACTTCACTCTAATTGAAATGGTTAGATGATAGAAGGACGATTATATTCTAGTTCTTATAATGTTTTATAGGGTATATATATAATATATATATGTATATATATATACATATATATATAAATATATATATATATATATATATATATGTACATGTACATATATATATTTTTGTAGATTGATTATATCTATTTTCAATTTTACAGTTTTGTCTTTTTAATGAATTACTTTAGTCTCTTTGTTCTTTGCGATCATATAATATAGAGTGGCAATCAGAATAGTGTGTGATTTGATTTGGTTTCTTAGATACAGGTGTATGCATGTGTGCTAAATGAAAGTTTAATATAATGCAAACTATTGAACACGCAACGAATCAAATTGGCAGCCACATTGTGCTCCCACGATTATAAACGATCCATAGCAATGTATTTTGCCAACGAGTCCAATCCATTTTGGCATATAATTTACGCTTTGCATGTAAACATACGTTACGATGATTTATGAATATGGTGGATAGTGAATGCGTGACAATTATATTACTTCCGTATAGATATGCCGCTGCTTGTGACATTCAATTCACTGTTCACTCTGTTGTAAGCTGCAATTAAAAATGAATTTGAAAAATGTATTAATTAAATATTCAATTGTTTACTAATTGATTAAATAACCTAAACATTTTGTAATCACATAAATACAGTGCTTCTCGTTTAATATAATCATTGATTTTTTTTGCTTTTTTTTTTTTTTTTTTAGAATTCACCAAAATTTCGTACGGAACGAAAGGCCTTTTCCGCCCCATTTCACAATTTATTTATCAGAAAGTATTTAGGTAGAAAAGATCTTTCGCTTATCCATTACTCAGCAGCACTATTCTTAATAGTACTCGTTTGCTAATCCTCGTCTTGCTTTTAATATAGAAGAGGGATATTCGAGATATATTTGCCTAGAGCGAGCTGTTATCTCTATTGAGAGTTCGGGGCATATTTTCTGAGAACAAAAGTTATAAAGTCTATTGATTTACGTGGCCCTCTCGATACATTCATAAAATAAATAATAATAATAACAATGAAATCAAGTTGAAAAAAAATCCGCTACTCATAGCTCATATCATACTTTATTCTAGACTATATCTCAATACTTTCCAACGGAGGCGGGCACACTGCCGTTAGGTAGTTAACAAGAGTGTCAGGAGTCGTCTGCTTGCAGACTTCTCTACTATGGAGACTGAAGCGTTAATAAGCAGATTTGGGAACTACTAAGCGGGAGAGGAAAGTGGAAGTAATTGTTCGATTGATATCTCCCGCTTCTCTATTAAAATTAAAAGGAGCCTTACTTGGTCGCTTACGAGGATATTATCCAAACTTTCATATCTGGTTCTCCAATCTTGGGATATGCCCTCCCGTTTGCAGTTTTGTCTTGCAAGTTGCGTGTGGCCGGAAAGAAAGGTCTTTATCTGATTAAGCCGAATACAAACGGTGCACGCCTAAAGACAAAATTATACCGCAATACTGGTTAAGCCTATCGATATAAGAATGGGAAAAACCTTTTTGGAATTAGCTGACATGGGCATGGACCGTAATTGCCATAGTTTGCTCTTGTCATAAATGGGAGCAAAAAGAGCAGAGATGCATACGTTTCGGTTCAAATCCTACGCAATCTGCGATTTGTTTATTTAATAAAATGCACAGTCAAGTCAAGTTTTCAATTATGCGAAAAGCACTATAGCTTTGATTTATTTGATTTTTTTTTTTTACATAATCGAAGTACACTTTAAATACCTAAATGTTTATATATACATGTAATGCATGCACGCATTGAAATATTAAAATAATTACTGCCAATTGTCAAAATTAAATTTGAAGAGAAAAACAGAATAAAATAA